CAGTTGATATCAAGAATTGCTGGTACAGGGATGCATCACTACACATGGAACAGGCACCCCAGTCCTCCCTAGACACCAAGCAGGAGGCACATGGGCACATGGCCACTGTCTTTCTCTTGCCCTCACGTTAGGGCCTAAACCCAACATGTCACTGTCATGTCTTCTGGATAAGCAGTACCCATAGCAGCTGACACGCCCTGATGTGTTCCTAAATTGTAAGATGTGTTGAGAGTCATTTGTTACTAATATCAATTGAAGTGCTGAAATTTGGAAAAGATTTTAAAACATAAATTAGAACAGATTTAAAGTTTTCCCAATAATAATGTTTCTGTCTTTCACTTGTATTTCGATATGCTTTCTGAGTGTAAGAAAAAAGGATCCAATTACAGCAAATGTGCCATTAACTGGACATAACTCCAAACCTGGTCTTTTGTGTGTCATGGCCTGTAGTCTGTCATGTCATATTGAGAATGTTGTCCACCATGGGCTGTGATGGGAAAAATGGTGAGGACTGCTCCCCCAGATTCTGGTTTCCAGGCCTATTCCTAGTGTATGCTTGACTACTTCTCTTAATCATTACCTTTTCTTAATTTTTATAAAAATGGGACTTCAAACTTGTATAGTGTTTTCTCCACAAGACTTTAAAAGTCAGACCAATGTCTAGCTATAAGACAAATAAGAAGCATAGCATTTATTCTTTTGAAGCTGCTCTTTGTGAGTCATATCACTGCTGTATTTTGTGGTTCCAGATATTCTTGGAGAACTTGGAGCATGAAGATGCCTTTGTATATCTGTCTGCTATCCAAGGTAAGTTAGTCCTCATTTAAGAACTCTGAATCTGTGGACCAAAGAGTCTGTCATGTATATTTGCACAAAATCTCTAAAGTCATGGAGCCACAAGGCTGCTGGTCATTCTGTGGCTCTGCTAAACATGTTCCTGATTGTCCCTGGACAGGTGGCCTAGCAGGGCATGTTCCCATGGTGTAAGAGAGGGTCAGAGAGCAGAAGTATAAGAGAGCAAGAATAGACTTGAGAGGCCTCTTTAGGCCTAAGCTGGGAACTAGAATCCTATTGCTTCTGCCTCATTCTGTTGACAAAGGCAAGTTATGTGGTCCAATCCAAAAGTTAAAGGGTAGAGAAACATTCTCTGTCCCTTTAGTGGGATAAACTGCTAAATCACAGGGCAAAGGGCATGGATGCAGGAAGGGGTGAAAGGTTGAAGCCAGTAATGCTGTGTTCTGTTTATCTGCAAAAGGCAAAGTTCTCTGTGAGCACAAAGGCATATACGGATCCTTATTGGCTACTTATTTCCTGGTATAATTTGAGTATAATTGGCTCTCTACAGAGCTAGAAGTTGAAGCTTAAGAAAGGGTACAGAGGGGAAATTATACAGTGATGAAGGCCTTGGGATTTACTCTTTATTCAGCAAACATTTATTGTGCACCTATTATATACAAAACTAGAGGCCCAGTGCATGAATTCGTGCACTGCCAGGAGCCGGTCCATCTTGCTGTTTCAAGGGACCTGGCATATATGGCATACTGTTCTTAATATATTTGCTCACCTTCTTGGCACTATGTGTTTTAACCAAGGTCACCTCTCCGAGAAAGGTTGTTTCCCCAGGTAGAGATTTTTCCCCCTGAAGTTAGGGAGGGAATAAAACCCACTCAGTGCAGACAATAAACGGCAGAACTTCGCTGGAGATCCAGACCAGAACTTGGCTGGAGATCTTGGCTAGGCTGCTGATCAACTGAACGCTGTCTCCATGTCATTCCTTCTTCGCCGACTCCGTTGGGGAACCCCTGGACCTGCTGGGGTTGGACCCCAGCAGTGCACCAGTGGGATCTGGCCAGCCTGCCCTGATTAGGCCAGCTGGTGGGAGGAGCTGTGGGCGGTTGCCCAGCCAGCCCCACACCCTGGTCGAACTCCTGGTTGAACTCCCATTAGAACTCCCGGTCGAGGGGACAATTTACATATTAGCCTTTTATTATATAGGGTATTTGAACAGTGAGATGTTGTGACTAGGTTAAAAAGCAAAATGATCACCCAAAGAGGCAAAGGATAACTATGTGAGAGCAGAAACTGAAAGAGTAGAAGGTTTCAAGAGAGAAAGTCATTACCTGCAGCTGAGAAGCCAAAGAGTCCAGGAACTGTGATAAGTCTGGAGGCCCGATAGAGCTCAGGAAGCCACATGCCAATCATGGTACTTATCGGAATTAAATAAATCAATGAAGTGCCTATAATTAAATGCCTGTAATGAGTAAGGCTCAGAAAAAAGTCATCTTGTACTTTTCCTGAGAAATTATAATACTGTAAAGATGTGAAGATGTTTCTCATTGATTTTTTTATTTAGGGCTGGGTTTTGGGAAGCCTCCTTGTGTCATTCTAATGTGGCAACTTGCTGTTTGGAATAAACTTCTTAGCTGATTAACCCGCTGAGCTCATTAGCCCCGAGGGTCTGCTATAAAAATCACAACTGTTGGTTTTGTGTTTGTATTTAGTAATTTTAATTGGTGTGCTAATCAGTTAGTAGCTAATTTGGTGATGAAGAACATAGGAGGTAGAGGTGTAATTTCTGTTCTCAGCTCCCCTCGATGGGCAAGTTTGAATTAATTGATGTTTTTGGTTTGTAACATACACTTATAGGCCAAGGCCTTAGGTGAATTTCCCATTAAGAAAGGAAAGAACTAAATTTTCCCACCTGTGTTGCCAATGTCCTTTGCCCAGGCCTAAAGCACTCCAGGAACCAAGCCATTCTGGACTTCCAGTCAGACAAGACCAGCCCACTTGTAAATGTCCTGCAGTATTAGGAGCTCTTGGCTGTGGTTCCAGTAGCATTAGTTTGGGGGAGTGTGTGTGTGCGTGTTTAATATTTTCCTTTTCTAGGCTGCCTAAATGGCTCCATTTGAAAGTTACAATGTACCTTTTGCTTAATTTATTGATATTTTGTATTTCTTTTTTGTTTTATCTTCGGATTTTTTTTATTTTTATTTTTTGTAATTTCTTATCACTTTGCAGTCTAGGCATAGATTAGAGGAGAAGTAAATAAGATCACTCAACAGATATTTATTGATGCCTGATATAGGAATTTCTTATGTGTGAGTTAAATTTTAATTTTATGGAAGATAGTCTACATCTCCTTTTAGCCCTCATAAGAAAGTGATGGTTGATTTAGTTCTCATGGCAGTTACCCCCAGGTACTCAGCAGCTTCTGCAGGCAGAGAATTATATACCAAGTAGCTGAGTTTCAGTTACAGTCCCGAGTTTATAAATGGAAGACTTAATCTTAGACTATTACCATTAAATGTCTCCCCATTTTAGACTCCTTATATATTCTTTTGTTCATTGTTTTATCATTATTATTATTACACAAGTTAATATATTATTTTTAATCCTCACCTGAGGATATTTTGATACTGTTTTTTAATTGAGTTTTTAAAAAGAGAGGAAGAGAGAGAGAAACCAAGATGGCAGCATAGGTAAACACCGGAAATTGCTGCCTCGCACAACCACTTCAAAACTACAACTAAAAGACAAAACAGACATCATCCAGAACCACAGGAAGGCTGGCTGAGTGGAAATTCTACAACTAGAAGGAAAGAGAAAAGCACACTGAGACTCAGAGGAGGTGCAG